GGGGGGGGGGGATGGTATCACCCGGCGGTGCGGAACGTACCAACGACGTGGCCATGCGGACATCGTCCAGCGGGATGTCGGATGTGGCCGAGCTGGCCAGCGGCAGCCCATCGGCCGACATGCACCGGATCAGGTAGCAGATCATTTCGAGAATGTGCCGGCTGTAGATGGAGCCGTGGCTGACGGCGGTCTTGGCCACGATGGCATTGATCATATGGACATATGTCTCGGTGATGCTGGGCGGCCGAGCGAGACGAGGGAAGCGCGGCGGGAGGGTAGATGAGCGACAGGACGTGGGCTTGCCATGGTGGCAAGGGGGCGGGGGCGGCCACGCCCATGCGATAGGGAACGCACGGTAGCTCACGGGCACGGTGACTCTCGATCAGGCTCGCCTGGATGAAGAGCATCAACCGGGACAGCTTCTCCGACTGGGTGGATGCATAGTGCACCAGCTGGGCCAGTTGGGTCTCATTCATGTGGCTCTGTGGCTCCCCCGAAGGAGGGAGGACCGAGAGGACCAGGCGTTCGAACTGCAAGTGGGGAAGCGGAGGAGGAGGAATGAGATGCTTTTGCAGCGTGAGCAGAGCAGGAACACAGGCGGCCACAAGCGCACATCATTCTTTGAGAAGGTCATCATTGCCGCTTATTGTGGCGGAGTGCGTGCTGCGGGGGTGCAGAGGGCAGCGTGTGCGAAGGGCCGCAATTGCGATGGGTGGTCAGTACTGATCTTGTCAGCAGGGTGCGATCGGTGGAGAGAAAGGAGAAGAGGGCCGGCGGGAGAGGGAGGGTGAGGTACAGGGGAGAGATCTTACATGGTAAGTACGGAGGCGCGCGTGTCAGGGATGGGACGGGATGGAGAAGACGAGGACTCGGGGGAGGGGGGGCGGGGGGGGGGGGGGAGGAGGAGGGAGTCTCAGGCTAGCACTGAGCCCGACGCTGAGGGCCGTCTCAAGGGCAGACGCCTTGGCTTTGTCCAGGTCGGCCACTAGCCGGGCGGTGCTGCCCGAGGGCCCTGCCGCCGCGGTGCTACTCCTCCAGCACGCAGCTGGGTGCCTCCGTCCTTGATGGAAGGCGTACCTACTGCATACGAGGGAGGGGATATGTTATCTGGACCCCAGCCAACACCTGTTGCGTTGCCGTCGAGCTGTGCCTTTCATTGTTCCCTCCCCCCTCCCATGCATCAACCGCGGAGGGAGGAAGAGGGTGAGAGCAGATCCACGGAAGAAGAAAGATGGCGAGCGCGGTTACACACATACGTACGGACGCATGCAGAAGCACAGGCTACCAGTAGGACGCCATGGCGGTAAGACGCAACATGCCCAACCTGGAGCCCACACTCACATTGCATGCGACCACTCCCAAGGGTTGCATGCATGGGACGTGGGCGTCCCGGAGCCTGGACTTGATACAAGTGGCCCGACCCCACGATCCCCACATTGGTGGCGAGACGCTCCGGGGGCACTTTCGATTTGAGACAATTCACTGCCCCCCCGCCCCCTAATTGCGCATTCTGCCCACGCCGCGGTGGAAGCTGTATGTAGCAGGATTTTCACGGATCCACTCTTACGTTGAAGGAGTGAGGCTTTGACGGAAGGTATACCGGAAATCTCACTACTGGTCAGGGGCCATTCTGGGCATGAGGGACAGCACACCTAGCCAGGTGGGAATGAGGTTGCCTGTGCCAAGAGTACGAGATAACTCCACCAGAGGGTGAGCCAGCGGGCCAGCAAAAGAGAAGGAAATTCGTCTAACAAAAAGGGAGGTTTGAGAGGAAGCCTGAGAACACGGCTGGGCTGAGGCTTCAAGGGGATGCTCTCGCATGCGCTCGAATGCATTCATCACAGGCAGGCTGCAAAGGTCTTCCCGCTCTCAGGAGGCTCCCCCGCAGGGAGTCTCCCTTTTTTGACCTCGAGGCGGTTGAGGAGGGTGGATCCGAGAACTTGGCCTGTACACGCCCATCTCTATCCTTTCCGGGGCCACCCCGTACACTGGCCCTGTGTACTCTCGACGGCCTTCCGGCTGACGATCTTACCCGCTTTCCTCAGAAACAGGAATGCCATTCATGTGTGGTAAAGCCCCGCGCGAGGCCCGACCACGCGGGACCCGTAACTCAGCAAGGATTCAGTTTATAGGGGTTGGAGAGGCATCCTGCCCTCACGCGATAAGTCGTGTGATCGTCCCGCGATAGCTGGCCTCAAGGTCAGTCTGACAACAGACAGGCGCCCCGCCGCCCCCGCTCCAACCCGCTTGCTGGAATCCTTGCGAACTGGGGAGAACGGCTCTCTTCGCGCGCGCGCGGCCGTCGGGGATACACGGCAAGAAGGGGGGGGGGGGGGGG